TTTTAGGACTAGAAAGGAAGTTTGTGGTAGGCTGAATAAAGGCCCTAAAGATGTCCACTTGTTTTTCTTTTTTTTATTGTTTTAAGTTTTTAAAAAAATGTTTATTTTTGAGAGAGAGAGAGAGAGAGAGAGAAAAAATATGAGTGGGGGAGGGGCAGGGAGAGAGGGGTACAGAGGATCTGAAGCAGGCTCCATGATGACAACAGAGAGCCAGTTGTGGGACTTGAACTCATGAACTGTGAGATCATGACCTGAGCTGAAGTCAGACACTCAACGAACTGAGCCTCCCAGTCACCCCCAAAGATGTCCACTTTAATCCCCCAAACCTGTGAACATGTTACTTCACATGGCAAAAGGGACTTTGTAGATTTAAGGCAAGGATTTTAAGATGGGGAGACTATCTTGGATTATTCACGTGGGCCCATGTGATCACTAGGGTTGTCATAAGAGAGAGAAGAGGGTCAGAGTTAGGGAAGGAGATGTTATAATGGAAGCAGAAGTCAGAGGGATGGAGTGATAAGCCAGGGAATGGGAACAGCCTCCAGAAGCTGGAAAAGGCTATATTTCTTTTCTTTTCTTTTCTTTTCTTTTCTTTTCTTTTCTTTTCTTTTCTTTTCTTTTCTTTTCTTTTCTTTTCTTTTCTTTTTTCTTTTTTCTTTTCTTTTCTTTTCTTTTCTTTTCTTTTCTTTTCTCTTCTCTTCTCTTCTCTTCTCTTCTCTTCTCTTCTCTTTTCTTTTCTTCTTTCTCTTCCTTCCTTTCCTCCCCTCCCCTCCCCTCCCCTTGGGGGCTCCACACCCAACATGCAGCTCAAACTCATGACCCTGAGATCAAGATTACATGCTCTATTAACTGAGCCAACCAGCCACCCCTAAAGTACTATATTGTTACTAAAGTACTAAAATGATATTTATGTTCATATTTGAGTCTTAGTAAGTCTCAATAATAAGTCTGATTTATTGAGCATATACTTTGGTTCCTGGAGATTTTTTTTTTCAAATGTTTTATGTTATTGCCACTATAAAAAAACACTAAAATCTTGAAGAAGTTACCTTAACCAGAGAGTCCACTTACCCCTGCAGAAGTGTTTTCTCTGAGGCAATTTGAAAACAGCTGCAGTGCTGAAGACAGCTTGCATTACCACATGAAGAGTGGGAGCCTAAATTGTCAGTATTTTGCCTTATTTCTTTTGTTTTCAGGAGTGATTGAAAACTTTGGTTTGATATAGACTATGACATTAAGATACCAATTTCTAGTTTAAAAAGAAAGCAATTGGGGCACCTGGGTGACTTAGTTCAGTGTCTGACTCTTGAATTAGGCTCAGGTAGTGACTTCACAGGGTCATGTGGGACTCCGTGCTCCCCATTGGGCTCTGTGCTGACAGTGTGGAGCCTGTGTGGGAGTCTCTCTCCCTCTCTCTCTGCCCCTCCCCTGCCCATGCACTCCCTCCCTCTCCCTCTCCCTCTCCCTCTCCCTCTCCCTCTCCCTCTCCCTCTCCCTCTCTCTCTCAATAAATAGAGACACATTTTTTGAACCTAAAAAGAAAGCAATCTTGTTTTTAGAGAACATTTAAAATTTTTTCTCTGGTGTTGAACTGTTACAGTCCCCAAAATGACAGGAGAATTTGTGGTGGAAGAACTTAAAACGCTATGAGGTGGTGAGCATGGTCTAGAGTGAACTGATGACTGGAGTGAAACAATGACTGCCCTTAATTTTATTTTCGCTAGAACAAAACTACAGCTAGCCCACTGAGGGGAAAGGTGATGAAGTAGTTGAAATAGATGAGACATATTTTTCTTCTGAGACACATTTTTCTTCTGTGTCTGTTTGTTCATGCAGATATTTAATTTTTTTTTTTTTTTCTATTTTATAGCTTGTAGCACTGTTGAAACTTTCTGGGCTCTCAATTATTCTCAAAGAACACTGCGAATTGGATTTTTGGAACTCCTTTTTTTACCCATCCAAGCAGAGAATAATAAGTATTTCTCAAACCGTTTCTACACAGTTTTATATAGCCCTTGGCAGGATATGGGCTGATAGTAACAGCCGGTTACTACTCTGGGAAAACTGAGACAGTGAGAGTCCTTAAGTAACCTGCCTAGCAGCAACATAACTAGTAATACCTGAGCTGTCAACTAAACAAAATACTTCTCAAATGTATATCTCCCTTATACTACTATAATGTATAGAGCTAAAAGTTCAGACTCTTGAGGCAGAAAGACCTGAGTTTGAATCCCAGCTGTAACTATTTACTAAAAAAGTTATACAAACTGCACAGCACATCAGGAAGAGCCAGCATTGGCCGTTGTGCCAGAATATATACCAGCAGCCCCCCTTGCTACATTCTTGCTTCTTTCTGTTAGGTGTATGCGTAAAGCTCTGAAGCTCTGCTTATTTAACCAAGGACTGGGTTTGAATCACTTGCTCTTATGTTCTAATTCTTTTTGTTTTATTTTAATTCTTTTATTTTAGAGAGAGTGAGTACATGAGTTGGGGGTGAGTGGGGGTGGGGGGAGAGAGAGAGAGAATCTTCAGCAGGTTCCACACTCAGCGTGCAGCCCGATGCGGTGGTCGATCTCACGACCCTGGTGTCCTGATCTGAGCCAAAATCAGGAGTTGGGCATTCAACTGACTGAGCCATTCAGGCGCCCCAGTGTTCTAATTCTGGATGGAGAATTTTAAAGATGATTAGGGATAGAATGGAATAATATATGAGAAATCATTTGTAAATGGTGTTACAATATAATAGCATGAAGTATTAAGTTATTTTAAATGAAGTTAATTTTTCCCACCATAAAAAGTGTACATTCTCCTCCTTTCAGTGACTGTGAAGCTGGGAAGATCCCGGCTGGGCCAAGGTCACTGATCTCACTGTCCTCCTAGCCCTTCGGGGTTTCCCCAAAGCCCCTTAATCACATGGTTTGATTCTCCCACAAAAGTGTACATTCTCATAGAAAATCGGGAAAATATATTTAAAAAGGAGAAATAAAATGATTATCTGTTGTATAACTGCATAGGGGTAACTGTTTTGTTTCCTTTTAGCCTGGGGTTTCTGTTTTTTTAATAAACATAAATTATTATTTAGGGGCATTCGGTGATCTCCAAACTAAGATTAAAAATAAATTTGATGAGAGAGAGTACCTGTCACTTGATGTCCCCCCCCCAACTACAAGATCCCCCAGTAATTCAGACTCTTCATTATCACTTTAAAATTTTTTTTTAAATGTTTATTTACTTTTGAAGGAGAGAGAGACAGAGTGTGAGTTGGGGGGTGGGGAGCAGAGAGAGAGGGAGACACAGAATCTGAAGCAGGGTCCAGGCTCTGAGCTGTCAGCACAGAGCCTGACGCGGGGCTCGAACCCACAAACCGCGAGATCATGACCCGAGCCGAAGTCGGACGCTCAACCGACTGAGCCACCCGGGCGCCCCTTCATTATCACTTTTAAAGATGTGGGAAAATCCCTTATCATCTATTTAGGCAATTAAATGGCCATTTTAAAGCCCTTTTCAGGTCTGTGTTTTTGGGAGGGGTCAATTCCTGTGCTGCTTTAATCTGTTCCCAGCAGGACCTCTATTAACAGTGGGGACACCTGACTTGGCAGCAGTTTCTGTGTCTTAAATGACATGATTTTTGTGTGAGCCAGCAGTGTATTGTGGCGGCCCTAAAAGCTAAGGCCGACTTAGGCATCATTGTCAAGGAAAGGTCTAAGGATGGGATTTTCTTGCTGTGCCTTATGCATCTAGATTGCATCCAGCATACTGTATTCACTTTGGGGGACTGAGATTTGAGCTGGATATTGCATTGTGGAAATGGGACTCAGACAGCAGCGGATCTGTCAGCATTGAGTAATTGAAAGAATTGAGGATGTTTTGCTTAGTAAGCATCGTAGGATAGCTCAAAGGAATCCACATATGAAAGAGGGAATAAACTCATTATGGCTCCAGAGCAAAACTACAGACCTTGGAAAGCAATGAGATAGGGGTTCCTTTGGTTGAATATGAATGTGTGTGTGTGTGTGTGTGTGTGTGTGTGTGTGTGTGTTTGTGTTATATAATTTTTGAGATTGTCTAGTAATGGAATAGACCTTAGGAAGGAGTAAGTTTCTGGTTACTGAAAGTGTTTAAACTGAAGTCGGATAGATCCCTGCCAAGAACTACTATCAAATGCATTTCTTCGCTGGATTCATTCACTCATTCACTCACTCACTCACTTTTTATTGAGCCCTTCCTGTGTGTCAAGCACTGTGCCCAGTGCTGAGGAGACAGAGATCAATACTGTGGGCAAGGGGCTGGATTAAATGACTCCAAAGATCCCATTATGGTTGTGGTTGAAAGAAATTGCTGGATGCTTCAGTTTCTTTTGCCTTAATAAAAGTGTGGAGCTCTGATTTGTGTATCACTCCGTCTTTGAAACACTCCAGCATGTTGCTATCACATTTCTTCTGGGATGCAGAGTAATGCTTCATATCATTTTCTGAAAGATTGTAGGCTGTTAACTCCTGTCCATGACACTATTTTATTTCTCCAGCTTTGAACATAGAGGTTAAAGTTGAATGTGAAGTCAGCTTTTGATGGAATAATGTTGATTTTTCATGGCAAGTGTTTAATTCCAGGCTGACTTACATAAGTTTTTAAAGATTCAAGATTTATCAGAAAGTATCATGAGAGAACATAATGCTTATTAAATGTAAGGTGATCTTATTTATTAATGTTGTTGGAAATTCTTTGTACTTAAAACATATGGAAGAGTCAGGTTCTAAGGTTACACTTATTTTTTGAGAGGAGTTATCATTTGTGTATACTGAGATATTAAACCTCCAACTTCAATATTTGTAGATTGATCATATATCTGGACTAGTTCTAGTCCCGCCTGTAGAGATCAGATAGTACCAGGAAAAGCAGAGGTGCCAAGAACAAAGTGTGCAGATTTGGAGGTGATGTTGGGGTCTCTGTACATTTTGGCCCATCAAGTAAGGCCAGCTGTTCATTTGTTTCATGTCTAGGTTTGGAATTCACCCAGTTGCAGGCCGGATGCCTGGTCAGCTTAATGTGCTGCTGGCTGAGGCTGGGGTGCCATATGATATTGTGCTGGAAATGGACGAGATCAACCATGATTTCCCAGGTAAGTGGTAGAGGCGATGCTGAAGTCTAAATATTCTTAGTCTGAATAAAGCAACGCCCGTCTTAGGACGTAAATTGTGGGATTTCTGAACACCCACTAGTCCAATGAAGAGTAACCTACCCCTAGTAGGTGTGCAGTTGGAATGAAAGCAGTGAAAGACGGTACTGAATAAGGCACAACAGATTTGTGAGTAGCATGGGTACTTTTGTGCCTTTGAGGGGTAGTGAAAATCTTTTTTTTTTTAAATTTTTTTTTCAACATTTATTTATTTTTGGGACAGAGAGAGACAGAGCATGAACGGGGGAGGGGCAGAGAGAGAGGGAGACACAGAATCGGAAACAGGCTCCAGGCTCCGAGCCATCAGCCCAGAGCCTGATGCGGGGCTCGAACTCACGGACCGCGAGATCGTGACCTGGCTGAAGTCGGACGCTTAACCGACTGCGCCACCCAGGCGCCCCTAGGGGTAGTGAAAATCTTGAGAGATAGTGGAGCTCATTGCAGAGGGACTCGGAAGAGATCTGGCTTTGGGATCTAGGTCACAATTCTCGCTTGTTTGCATTAGATCCCAGCCTCAGGTTCCTCATTTATAAAATTACTTCTGTTGCTAATTTAATGTATAATGCTAGCCAGTGTCTGAGATTTTCCTGGCTTCTAATTGTACTGATTCATAATCAATAAAGTAGTTTTCTATTTTCTTTTAAAGTACTAGGATTTCAGTAGATAAGGTGCTGTACTTTATGGCTGTCATTGGGTAGATGTTGAATGTTAATGACATTTGGCCCAAGATCATGTTTGTTAAAGTTAGACCAGTTCCCCCTGGCAAGTGTCCACTGTAAACTTAAAAAATACTGTTTATTAGAGAAAAATAATGAAGTTATATGTGTATCTACATTCACATGGCATTTTTGGCAAAGTTCTAAGGTAATTTATATTACAGTCCTTAAAGAGGGAGTTTGGACCATTTTAATTTTATGCCCCCTTTGAGATTTCACTGTTGCAAAATTTTGTGTGAAACCTGCCAGTTCCAGGAATTATGGGCACAGCTTTAATACAGTACAGACTCTTAGACCATTTTCTTTGAGACATCAAATAGCATCATATGTGGTCATTTTAAAAGTTGAAAATGGAATGCCAGTCTTCTCAAAAATAATATAACCAACAAGATCATTTTGAGATAATAAAAAAATCGCAAAATCAGATTAGGTAGATCCATCTGGGGGGAGGGAAAGCACAATAATGTAAGCTCCAGTCAGTATGCTCAGGTTCACATGCAGGACCTACTGCTTTTAGCTGTGTGGCATTGGCTAAGTTACCGACCCTCTCTGATAAAGCTCTTTGTACAGTGCCTGGCACAAGTGTGCATCCTATAAATGTTGGCTTTTGTTACTATTGTTATAAAGTGCAGATCACTATAATTTGCCTGAAAAAAAATGAAAGTAGCCTATTTGAGACTTACATTTTCTCTTTTTTTCCCTTTATTACGTAGACACCGATTTGGTCCTTGTAATTGGAGCTAATGACACTGTTAATTCAGCAGCTCAGGAAGACCCCAACTCTATTATTGCAGGCATGCCAGTCCTCGAGGTCTGGAAATCAAAGCAGGTAAAGTTTCAGACTTGTGTTTCATTCTCATAGTCAAATGTCTCTTCAGACATGCGCACAGAGCCATCTTGGTTCACTCGGCGAGGAGCGCTGATGCCTTTTAAAAGCCGCAGGAGCTTGAGTGGGCGTAGGGCCTAGCTCTCTATATCCAGCTTCTGTCTGTTCGGTGGCCAGTAGAGAACCCGAGTGAATGCCCTGGTTACCATTAGAACCAAACGATATTATGTGGATGGATTAACAAAATCTGTAGCCACAGCTGAAAAAAGAGCTGTGAGCTTTTGGAATGAGTCTGGCTGACTTCCAGATAGAGTCCAGTGAAGCAGATGGCTTCCCTCTGGGACAGTGAGTCAGTATCATTGCCTTCATATACGAAGATGAGCATGTTTTTTTCATTTAATTTTTTTAAAGGGAATTTGTTGTTGTTATGGGGTGTCTAGAAGAAAGGTGATTTAGAAATCCAAACCATAACGTGGCATAAGGAAGCAAGGCCTGCTCGCGCACATCACCTTTGTGGAGGCTCACCGCTGGGTCATAGAGACTCAAAGGCTTATACCTTTCCCCTGCCTCATTCGAGGAACATGCCTTTACTACCCTTAGGTCAGATCTGCATTTTAACAGTCATAATTATGTAATTATGTAAGTACATTTCCCTTTAATTTTGTTTCTCTTCATTGAAAATATGGGAGTGTGATATGCACTTATTCATGTGTAGATAAAAAATTACTGCATTCGTCATCAAATTGGAGAATTTGAAGAAGACTATACTAAGGCTGAGTGAAGTGTGAATAAATTTAGACTGCTTTCATTTTTGGATAAACTACCTAGACAACCACAGAAAGGCTTTTTATTTTCCTAAGAACTGACTTGCTATTTAACAGGATAGCACCATCCATAATCCATGTAGGTGTCAATGACTATACTACATCAATATTAGAGACAGGTTTGCTTCTTCCATTTTGCTTTGTAGGACTGTAATATTATTACCTCTGTCATGTGATGGGCTAGATTGCTCTTTGGGCTTTTGTCTTGGCACCTTCTTTTTCTTTTTAATGTTTATTTATTTATTTTGAGAAAGAGAGAGTGTGAGTGAGCCAGGGTGGGGCAGAGAGAGAGAGAACACCAAGCAGGCTCTGTACTGTCAGCACGGAGCCCAACCTGGTGCTTGAACCCACCACTGTGACATCATGATCTGAGCGGAAATCAAGATTCAGACACTTTACTGACTGAGCCACCCAGGCGCGCCTGGAACCTTCTGATGTACTTTAAAGTGGTGGAATAGGAATCATGCCATTTTCCCATTAGAAGCTTATGCACTAAGTTTGGTCTCTTTAACACATTAGAGAAAGATGCTTATTTTTCTGAGTAGAAAATGTTACAGGGTCTTTATAGAGAAAAGCTCTGAGAAGAAAATCACTTGTAATCTTATGTTTCATAGATAAACTATTTATTGTTAACAAGATTTTTCTCTCTTGGATGTGAGTATGGGCACATTTAAAAAATTAAAGTTAATACAATGTGTGCCTGCATTAAGAAAACGACTCCTTGTGTATTTTAGAAAACTGTGTACTCAGGAGTTAGTAGTGGTGATGCTTCATTTAAAGCTAGGGCAGGGCAGTGTGGGCATACCTATCACATCCCAGCCCAGTCTGTTAAATACACTCATTTTGCCCCTTAATCTTTGCTCCTTAGGTCATCGTTATGAAGAGGTCACTGGGTGTTGGCTATGCTGCAGTGGACAATCCAATCTTCTACAAACCCAACACGGCCATGCTTCTAGGCGATGCCAAGAAGACGTGTGATGCGCTGCAGGCAAAAGTGAGAGAATCCTACCAGAAGTAAATTTTCAAGACCAAGCTGTTGTCCGACAAAGCCACCTCTTCTGTTGTGGGAACAGGCAAATAAAGTATCACTCTATACAGCTGATAGACATCTGTAGCAAAGCTCTTGGAAGAGAAGGAAGACTGAAGAATGCAAAGCAAACAGGGATATTTTTCAAGATCCCTTGATTTTTTTTTAAAAGATTGAAAATTCTGAATGTCTTTCTGTGCATATTTTTTGTGTTATGAATTCCAAAAGTATTTTATAAAAGGAGAAGGAACAGCCTCATTTTAGATGTAATCCATTTGGATTTTTTTATTCTTCCTCAATGGTCAACAATATTTTAAGAGATTAAGTTTTTAGGATCTTAGGACTTACATACATGGATCTGAACACTCTGACCTTGTAAACATTACAGGTACCTTCATTTATGTTTTTTCAACAGAGATTACTAATTTGAGACTTGTGTCAACTCCTGAGCTATCCTCTTACCATTTAACCATGATCTGAATTAACCATATCAAATTGGCTTCAACTTTTCAAACTGTACTACCAATTCTAGATTTCAGGGATGTATTTTCTCACTTCTATTTTAATACCTTAAGGGACTAGGTAATCTTTCAGAGATGCTGGAAACAATGACTTCATTTGCTTTGTATGTTTCATCAGGACACCAGTGAAACATATAATTTGAAATCAGTATTGTATTCTTAATAATCCCATTTTCAATCAGAGGTGTTTTTAATTTCAATCAATTTATAAAGTGTATTACTGTATTAAGTGCACTTGAATGGAATTCAGCTATTTGACTAATAAATTGAGTTCATCATGTTTGCGTAGAGATGTAGCAATGGTCTCTGGTGACAAAAGGCTCAAGTGAATAGTTTTGCTGGTTACTACCATCCGGGGAAGACTTGCCACTGGGAAATAGATGAAATTACTTGCTCCCTTAATTGTTGGCAAGAATTTTTTTTTCCAAATCAGAATGTGTTTTGAGGTCTTATGTAATTGCTGACATTTGAGAAAAATGGTGGCCCTTTTTTTTATTAGCTACCTCTTTGTTTATCTAAACATCAGTAAAGACCATGTCTTTTTGCAGTAAAAGTGTAGATTTTCTTTGTGACTTTGCTACTGTGCCAAAAGCTGTATATAGGTGAATGAATGAGTGAATACTTGGAATATCTGTCTCTCTCTGTAACTAATTTGGTACTAAGTTTCTTGAAATAATTATAAGCACATATAAACTATCTCTAAACCAGAAAAAGAATTAACTGTTGTGAAATTTTTTACTGTAATGCTCATGTTTACTCAGTTTATAACTCACAATATCTATTGGTTTGGTAATCAACTTCTGTTGTGCTGTGCTTGAGATTAAGATCTGTTTGTGTGTGTTTGTGTGGGTGTGTACATGTGTTTTAAAGCAGGAAAGGCTCCTTTTTAATTTTTAAGTAATAAATGCAATTTGCTAATGGATCTCAGGTCATTAGTAACCTCAAGTCTGAATTACATCATGAAAGTTCTACTAGGAAAACAATAAATCGTATCTTTATGCCCTTTTCCTTTTCCCAAAGTACTTGTGGGTATATCTGGAAAGCAGCAACTTGGTTTTTTTTTTTTTTTAATGAGATAATTCCTGGATTCAGCTTAAACTAAAAATAATGATACTTGGATTTATTTATTTTTGTTATTGTAGTAAATCTTTTTCTATATTTTCAGAATTTAGGACCTCATTCTTTGCTGCTGACTAATCCTTTGTCATCTAGTTGTATTACTTGAGTTAAAAACTATGCTTCAGTTGGTTTTATTTTACTTTATTGCTTAGGATATTTAAATGATTTTTTGGATACAAAATTTCTTAAATTAATACTCCCAAAGGTTGGTGACCTTGGATTATTTATGGTGAAGTCTAAAACCAACAGAAATAATTTTCATCCATCCTATTTTATTGTTCTTTTTTTTCTAAGGCATACAACTGGAAGATATGACTTATTTTTTATTCTTGTATTGTTACACTATGTATAGATATTCAACTGGAAATAATTTTTTTTAAAAGTCCATTGTACCCCACAGTGTGTTACCAAAAAAAAGAATTACGTGTAGGCAGTGAAGTGCTAATGTTGATGTGTCTTTTAGGCCTTTTTGACCATCCGTTATTTTCTCGTTTGTCTTAAATTGGAAGTTTGTGTTTAAATTACTCATCTAAGTAAAGAATATATATAAGTAAATGGATAAATTTTAATACATTATATGTATGTTTCTGTCTAACTCTGGACAGTTTTTCAGCATATAAATCTTTTTATCATTCTCTCTGTATTTTTTTTCTAGGGATTGGAATAGGATGGAGAGAGAGGACTAATCTTTTTCTGCAGTGGGCGTTCAGGCCTTGATGGAGTCAGGGAATAACAGTTAGGTATTTTGTAATGAATCTGGATAGTGGGCCTTGGCCTTTCTGATTCTATCCAAGTCATGGCCCTAACTTTTAGATTTTGCTGTTTTCTCATCCAACACAAATATGGGATATATTATCTGTCAGTCAGGTTTAGGGTTTAGTTCAATTTATCCTATCCCAAAGCCTTATTATGTATAATTAATAACTCATAACCCATGTGTTCATCTGACTTAGAGGCAAATTTTCAAGTCCCTTAAGGCATACGTCTTGTGAATTAAAGCATTTTAGTACTGGAAAGTTGGACAGCTCATTTGTATAGCTAGGGGAGAATAGTTCAAATATCTAATTTATAGCTCCTGCCAGTTTTTGAGAGTCTTTGCCAACAAATATTGGGTCGGAATGGTAAGAGGAGAAAAACAAACAAAATTCTACACGTCAGTGGCAGCAACTTGCATGTTCCAGCTGCTCTTTAGATTCCCAAAGGAAAGATAAATTAGTGTAATTAACAAGGGGGAAAAAACACTTTTAAGTGAGACTTTTTTTTTTTTTTTTTAATTTGAGAGAGAGAGAGGACAGGAGCAGGGAGAGGGGCAGAGGGAGAGAACTTGAGAATCTTAAGCAGGCTCCATGCTCAGCACGGAGTCCAAAGTGGGGCTCCATCTCATGACTCTGGGACCATGACCTGAGCTGAAATTAAGAATTGGACACTCAACCCACTGAACCACCCACATGCCCCTAAAGTGAAACTTTTAAAGTGTTAGTTAAGTAAAGCAGTAGAAATGGTAACATTTGAATTTTGAAGCACTCAAGATTGCTGTTCTTTTTTTTTAAATGTTTATTTTGAGAGCGAGAGAGAGGGAGAGAGGAAGAATGTGAGCAGGGGACGGGCAGAGAGAGAGAGAGAGTGAGAGAGAACCCTAAGTAGGCTCCCTGCTATCAGCGCAGAGCCTGATGTGGGGCTCCATCCCACAAGTCGCGAGATCATGACCTGCCAAAATCAAGAGCCAGACGCTTAACCGTCTGAGCCACCCAAAACCCCAAGACTGCTGTTTTTAAACTTATCTCTTAGAAGTTACATATTGGGCTAAGGAATTGAACTGTTCACTATTTAAGTGGTTATATAGACATTTAGCATGGTATATACCGTAATTCTGGAGGGAAATCTTTTGGATAAAGTGGGTATAATGAGATAATGAGACAGTAATTAGATAATGAGAGACAGTAATTGAGATAATTAGACAGTAATTAGAATGAGACAGTAGATAGTCTTGTGCAAAAGGAAGGAGATAATGAGACAGCAATTAGAATGTTGACTATTTCAAACTCTTGACTTACGATGGTTAAGATAGTGGGAGGAAAAGATAGGGTCTTGGTAGATAATTTATTTGGGGGAGGAGTGGAAAATTATATTGAATAGGTAGAGAACATCTAGTTTATGATTATGAAGAACTTTAAAGGCTTGGACTCTAAATAGTGGGGAGATATTACATCTCTGTCACGTTGATTGTGAAAGCATATGACTACCTCATTCTACATAAAATATTTGTACTTCATATTCTTGTCAAAGATCACAACTTTAAACTCTGCTTTCCAATTCTTTTAAAAAGCCTATTTCTGAAGTATAATACTAATGAAAAAGTAGTCTAAAAGTTTGAGAGTCCAGTTTGCCCCTGGATATTTCAAATTTCACCCATAGACCAAAACAGCCCTCAGAGATCTGGGTACTTGGACTTTTGTTGTATGGAGTTACTGGGGATAACAAAGGCAGAGAGGTAATGGAATGGGGAGGAGAGTTATCCAGCTCACCTAAGGTCACTGAGTTTGGGGACACATACAAATGGCAGCAATAGAATGGCGGGGAGTCAAAGTGGTTGTTACAGACTTTGAGAAGAATTGAAGTGATGTGGATTTGGGGTATGCAGGTGACACGTGGAATGATGGTGGCTAGTTCCTTCCCCCAACAATGGAGAGACACGAAAAAGGAAGTGAGAACTCAGGGCAAGGGATTGCAGGTGTTCCTGTTTCCTCTACCATAAAGAGAGAATAGGAAGATCTAAGAACCTTCTCCTTCTCCTTCCTTTTGCACTTGGGAAGATGAAAACCACAGCAGCAATGTGATTTGATGTCGGGCACAGTCAAAACACACAGAAATGGACCATTCAGAAATTGAAATAAGGCCACTTTTTTTTTTTTTTAATCCCCCCATCCACCTACGTTGTTTCTGGCTTACTCTAGGAAAAGCAAAACTTGGAAACTTCTCTAGTAATGTGTAGAACTGGAGTTAGCCAGTGAACTTTTATCTAAATGAGCTCTTTTCTGGACCTGATTTTCCAAAAGCCAGTGAGTTGCTATCAGCCAGCCTTGCCTTTACCCCTTCTTTCTCCCATTTGGGGAATGCACTTTCCACAAGAGTACAGGGCTTACACTAATGTGGCAGCGTCTGTGCCTGGTTAATTCTATCCAGACCTTGTGATTCTAGTTCTCTGCTACACATACATAAACACTGGTTTGAACTGAAATGTCACATTTAAATGTCTATAGAGAAATAGGATAAAGTGTGACTGACTAACCACCTTGTGTTATGTCAGTAGGGAGATAGCTTCTTCCCCAGACGGATGAAACAGAATGTCAT